GCCATACTCCATTTACGAAACCCAAGTAAGAGTCAACGGTCGGGTACTGATTTTTATTTCAAGGAAACGGCAGAACGAGCACCAAAGGTACATTCCTCGACTGCACACCTTTTCGTTGAATTATCATTTCTTCCATCTAAAGATAAGCGCAGATAAAATGTTCAAAAGGTACAAAAAAAGGATAGTGAACCTTTGCGTAAAATTGATAGGACTATTACTATATTTTTGTATTATCTATTTTTCATATTTTTCACAATGGATTCTCTGTACCATACTCCATTTACGAAATGAGAAAAAGTCGACGGTCAGGTACTATTATTTATTGGGGTACGTGCAAAACTTTTTCTCACTTCTTAAATCGTCCTAAGCAAACTGATGTATAGCCTGCAATTCGAACGATAAAAATGTCCTTTCGTTTGTGATATATTAAAAAGAAAAGTTTCTTGCCAAGAACCAGGGACGTACCTTCCAGCAATGCACGCAGCCCATATATCGATATAGTCCTTTGAGTTAGGAATGCAGGACACGGGGTGCAACCTACTTTCATAAGCAGAAAGTATCAGCACGTGCATCTTCTTGGCTTGACTTGGTCCTTTTGGACATTCGGTAAGATCAGGATCACGAAGGCTGGTAGGCTAATTGATCGAGAGTCCTGGGGCCCCGCTAGTCCGCTCTCGAACGTTCTACGTATATAGGACCCATGCAGACACGGGCCCTACGTTGCCCAAGGATAATGAAGACGCTTTCGCACGACGTTTCCTAGAAGTTCCTTCGTATAAACTTCTTCATTCTCCATTACTTCTTTGCACGTCTCTTCCTTCGTTACTTCTTTCTGTATACTTTTTCTCTTTTATTTATCCACCATTCCCCATTATATCCTTTCTTTATTCACACTTTCCTCGGTCGCTTCTTATGCCACCCAATTTATTCTACAGGACTCTTCGAAAAGCCGAAAGCGACGCGACGCATCAAATATATATACAACACCTCTAGCATATATATATATATATTTATGTATATAATAACTAAGCTGTCAATAGAAATATTATTATTCTAATTTTTTTTCTCCTAATGGTTTTTTAATGATAATATTTTAACCATCGCCATTCTCCTACCTATATTATCGTGCCCCGTTCACTCGCATGGACACATAGACTCTGTAACAGCCTGTAGTACCAAGAAACGCTACGATTCATTAGAACGAGACTCGTGAGCTCCTTTACTCCGATCCAGCCTTGCTTATACAGCGTGATATATTTACAAAAGATATTCTCGAGGCAGCGACACTATAAAACGTACTGGATGCCTGCCTGTATCTATCTACATATCCTACATAAATAAGCATCGCTGTACTTATACTGTGGCTTGTTATTCGGACGTCAATCAGAAAGTCTGAGAAACAGTGTAAATATTTCGTATTTCCGTATAAAGAACGTTTTCAGCTGGCATATTAATTCTTGAATACAAATAATGTTGGTACTGTGCTTGCGTCACGATAAGCATTCCAGATACATAGGCAAAGTGGTTTCTACTGGTACATTAGTTTCTTTTTTTTTTCACACGCGGTAAAATTTCTGAGAGTGATAACGACTTTGCTATACTTCCGGTTCATATTTACAAGTTCCTTCGTATATTTTCTTCTTAGCAATATTGACGTTTTCTTATTGCGCAAGTTAAGCTCTTTACTCCGGAAAGTGACAATGGGCCAAGTCAAAGACGCGTGCGTAATGTTTGTTAAGTCGAACGTAGCTTTCACTCCTTAAAATTTCAGGCCTTGTCGCACTCATAACGCTACGCGGTTGATACTCAATGGAATGGTGTCGGTAGAAATGACAAAGGACAATCGAACCTCGAATATACGAAATGCAGTTGTAGTTCGTTGAAAGGTAAGAATAATTAAATGTCCAGGAGAAGGCTCAAAGAATACGTCACGGGTGGTCACTAATTATGTAAAATTGTATTATTCTTTTTTTTTTTTGACGATATTTGGTTTACAATTAGTGCTGTGGATTTTAAAGATTTTTTTATACAGAAAATAGTCGTACTGTTCATACAAAAAATTTGATCGTTTCAAATACTTTCACGTAAAATTCACTCCGGTATTTCTGTTTAAAAACTACGAGGAAAAAAGGATTTTTGGGAAAAAAACTTGGAGGAGTAGTCTCACCCCATAAAAACCTAATTTCCGTAGAAAGAAGAAACTACAAGCGTATCTCACGTGGACTACATTTATTTAAAAGTCTAGATTCCTTTGAGCTTTATATACTCGGAAAATTTATCTTAATAATAATTGTTTGTTTTATTTAAAGAAAAAATTAATCGACAATTTCGCAACTTGCTAAAACGACTCTCTGATAAGTTAAATTAACGAGAATATTTAAGAACGCGTCAAAACTATACGTATATACATACACGCTCTATTGACTGATTCCCGAGTAGAATAAAAATGTCGAAAAATATCCAATTCCTTTTTTTGTTCGTTCTAAACCAACCAACCGTTAAACACTACTGTGAATTAGTCAGACAAAAATAAAACACGACCCACTTAGAATAAATCCATTCGTGACAAATCTAACGGTAAGTTTAGCCCAAGAACTCTGTGATTTATCAAGCGATTGACCGATTTAGCCGAGGCCTCGTTGCCGATTGGCAGTTTGCAGTATCGAAAGCCACAAACGGAATAATAAGGAATTGACACAACAGCCACAATTCAGTATCCATTAAAGACAAAAAGAAGTAAGGCATATTAGAATTCTCGTTATGCACGCAGTTGGCATACGACGAGATACAAAAAAATGTTAGTACAATGTCAAAAGGAAGTTGACCCAAAGCCACGAAACTCATCAGACGATTTCTTTTGGTACAGGAGACGCATAAGAGAATTCCAGCAGCGTGATAAAACAAGTTCTGGGACCGGGTTACCCACTTAGTTATTCGTTCAGCCTACATACGTATATACTTTATATATGCCACATGTACCGCATTATGCTTATACGTATTACATATCGTGCATATAGCGTGCGGTACATACATGCAATATTCTCTACAGGCAAGAAACCTGGTTGGTTCGGATGCTGGGATACCTTGCTTGACCTGACTCTGCTGTCTACAAAGTCCAATAAAGATATTCTCTATGTTTTACGTGGGAATGATCTTCTTACGAATATGTATATACGTACAAAAGTCATACAAGGAAAACCACTATTTCGTACATTTTTTTCTCCATCTTTCCACGAAACTGAGTCATCCGTCATTTCAGCAAAATTACTATTCTATACTATATCGAAGGTCATCAAAGATCCTTTGAGAAGCACTACTGAGAATTCTTTCTTCTCCTGATTCCTACGTCTACGTTGCACTATATATAGTGACAGTTTAGTTGTTAAAATACAATACTATAGTCAGACCCAACTAATTGCCAGTCTGGTCCATGGGATGCTGTGAATCTTTTTTTTTACTAATTTTCAGATCCTGTCTGGCACGGGTATACCGCTTACGCGTATACTACTTCCAGGGCTTAGAGGGACCAATATACCCACATATATATAGCCTGGTTGTAAGAAGCAGGATTGAGTTATGAGGAACTAGTAAACAGTTTCGTAATTTCCTTTCACAAATCATCTAATGCATTTTATATGCATAATGTATCGTATTATATAATATACGCGCAAAGGTTAACCAACGAACGTGGTAGCCTGGTACAATAAGTACGCGAGTCCTATCCAGTGGGAACTGACTTTTTTCTTGGTTCAAGACAACCCTCGATGTTTTATCTTTCCTAGACGATTTATATGCCCTCAAGAAAGAGAGAGAGAGAGAGAGAGAGAGAGAGAGAGAGAGAGAGAGAGAGAGAGAGAGAGAGAAAGAGAGACAGTCATAAGGACTGAACCTTCCTCTGCCACCTGTCCCCAACCCCTTGGCATCTTCTATTCGGATGGCGCATGCTTCTCGAACGACCTGGTATATATTGCCAGTCCCATCCTAGGCTCGCGCCTGAGATGTAACTCAGCGGCATCTCTCAAAGAGGACCAAATTCCCGCCTAAGAAATTCTCCTATGAACATACCTCTAAGTTTTATAACTATATCTATCATTCGAAAAGCCATTTAACAACAGTGACTCTCCCTTGAAATTGCTTATCCGATTAATCATTTGGGGCTTATCAGGCTCGGCGTTGAATGCAATATAAAAATAATTTTCAGGCACGTATATAGGTATTTATGGTATAGAGTATAAGGAATATACTTATCTTACAGAATTCATCGATGGTACACATTTAGTATTAACGTTCGATCCTGTTTATATCTATAGCGATACCTGAACGTACACGCGTGTACAGTGAAATTGCAATACAATTCGAGCGATTATACATGCAAATATATGCAATCGTGACAATTTTATGGTTAGTATAAAGGTGAAATGTGGCGGTCGGGTACACCCTGTAGATAGATACGCGCGGGACAGTTGATTTCGCGACGCGAATGAAATAGTGGCTCGTTATTCCTTAAAACATAGTAGCTATTAAATTAACATAGAAAATCGAAACGTGTAAGCGCCGAGTTAGCGTTACGTTCAATACTGTAATATACATGAACGCATATGGTAAAATACATGCCAGCCAATATACGCCTTACATACAACATACATACTGCATATATACAAACGAACCGGCAGAACCAGTATTTTAATACTCAATATTTTCAAACTCTCCTGTAGAAATAAATAAGGAATATATGATTTTTTTTTTTAATTACACGTAATCGAAGATTTAATTTTTTTTCACTTTCACTCTCTACAATTACTTTCTATGCATTCACGGATCCATTCGGGTTATCCATATGTTCTTTTTGGCTCATTCAATAGTGCCACCACCTTTGGTCGCTCTTACGCAACCGGTAATCCACCTTGTAAATGCCTCGTAGAGATGCAAATGTTGGTTAAGAAAAGGAAGAAGAAGGAAACGAACGAAGAAGTCTTATACATGACGTTTTCTCTTTACAGTTCCAGGTAAGACAACTACGAGGACGGAATCGCTTTCATAAGGATCGGCAGGTACCTTTTCCCAGGGACGTACTATGCGACGGCACTCAATTGCCAGGACGCAGGGGGATGAAGGATTCTTTTGTTACAGTAAACAGAGAGTACAAGAGAAGTGGAGCAAGCAGAGAAAAAATAATTTTGGTAGATTTGTTGTCCATATATTTTTTTCTACATGCTTCTATGCGATTACGAACTGATATACTAATTTAGGAAATCAAAAAAAAAATGGAATTTTCGAATTAAATATTTTGGAAAATTTTTCATTTTTGGTCCATGTTCTTAGACGGGACGATCAATTCCTACATAGAACGACTATATCTTGCGCAACAGATTCTCCCGAATTTTTAAAGTCCTAATAAGCGGCTGTTTTGTATGAAAGAGCGACTAGTATATATAGTAACACACAATATACCATTCCGTATCATCGAGCGTAATGATCCTATTGCACGAGTAAGGTAACCATATGTGAGTATACATATGCTTTATAGGGTACCTGTTTCTATCTTATGTAACGAGTGGTACCATACGCGCTCACCTGTAATTGATACTTTATCGATTGGAATTAGTCACTCCTATTTCTGCACAGTGGATCAGTTAAATAGCTAGAGGGCTAACGAGGACACTTTGCGATTTTGCGATATGGACATTTTTTTATCGACGGAATGAAGAGGTTCTATCTCTCTAGGCACTCGTGAACAGAAATGGTAGAAATATAATTTAAAAAAAATAGCATTAACCGATTCGTGGTTACGAAAAGGCAATTTATTGCGGAACAGATAAATTGGACCGATTAATCGTTGATTCATCTGTATAAATAATCAGCAGATACTAAGTATTATTCGGGGGACTAAAAGTCCATTTGCTGATTGAGATTAAAGGAATGCAGCAAAAAAGCGCGTGGCTAGTAAAGGAATAACAGGACCACACTGACGTTTGGGACAGTAGGCCGGATAACACGGGCACGAAGAAAAGAGTAAAAAAAAAATACTGCCCACAATTTAAATTGAGCCAGGGCCGTGAACTTGGACTACAGTTGGGGGCCTACCTTGACGTGAAAGTTACTCCACGAATTACACGGCTGTCGGTGATATACCTTTTTATTGCACGTGTGGTGATCCCGGGACTTAAAGTCATGATGAAAAAGAATGAGAAAAAAAGGGACGTGTCGTCCCTCATCTGTATTATCTACGCGGGACCAGTAATGGAATCCGGATATCCACTCGCTTTCCTGGTGGACAGTCATAATAATAATGCCAGACCCAAATACCATATTAAGAATTTCTTACGTTCTCGTTCAGTGACACTTCCGAAATAAATAAATTTATACGGTTAAAGGATAATAAAATTACCATGACGGTAATTTAATCAAAAATAGGAATAAAAAGGGAATAAATAAATCGTTTCATAGAATTAAAGCGACTACGATTCGATCGATCGTGAATTAATTAAAACGTCCCAGTTAATTAACAAGTACGATCCACCTGTGGCGCAGGCAGGTATATAGGTATGGGTACGTACATTCCGCGAATCATGGATGACGTTTCATCTATACTACTCTTAGCGATGACTTTTAATCGTAATAATCGGTCGGTCAGTTCGCATTAAAATTGCATCGGTTAAAATGAGATTAATTATTGACATTTTTATTGGGTCCTAACGTGATAATATTTTTGGGTGTTCGCTACGAAATTGTCATTCGAATTCGATGAGGGTATTTACATCGTATATATGCGAAGATGAGAATGTGGGTACGTGCGATAATGTTAATAAATTATTAAGGAAAAAAAAGTTAATCATCTTGATGGGCGGCCAACAAACGGCTGGTTCGCCACGGCAGCCAGTGGGTCTGAAATCTTCGGATCCGTCTCAGCTACTTAAGTAGGGGACTATTAGTAAGCACTTTTTTCTTACACCACTACACCGAACGCTGAATACACTTTCTATTTGGGTCAGGATACTATGCTGGATACTTTGTCGACACGACAGGGTCCAATTCCACATGGCCACACGAGCGGGACAGACTAATTAGTTCCTCAAAATCTCACGGAGAATTTATTACCAGGAAGAAGCATAAGACGTTACGATACCTTTGAAAGCTCTCAATCTATGTCAATGATTTAGGTAATTGATCCAATTATCTCGAATTCGACGAAAAACGAATATTTCATTCATTCAGTTACTTTCCAATAATCACAAAAATATATCTCGCGCTAACTCAAACAAAATTTTTGGATAGCCTACTATGGAGAAAGTTTCAATAAGAGATTAGGCCTTCGTAAAAGGCGAGGTCCAGGAACAACGAAAGGTATATAAATTTTGAAAAAAATTAAGATAACTAATAAAATTGTCTTAAAGACGACAAATAAGAAAATTCTGGTATTACAAAATTTTTACTAATAAATCATCATGACGATTATAAAATTTCAAAAAGAAATCCCAACGTCATATTTCATTCCCATAAGTGCAACACGCATGCAACTATATGAATAACATATATATCACCTTTTGATAATCACAACAGATGCACCTCGTGAAATCTAATCAAACGAAATTTTTGATAACATACTGTATGAAAGGGTTAAAGAGAGATTTGAGTCTCACAAAAGGCTCGGTCCAGGATCTAAGAAAGACACGTAGATTTCTAAGCGCCCGAGGCGGAGAGATCCCAACACTTTTATAACAAGCCTATATACATCCACTGGTATATCTCACGATCGCTATTAACCCCAACCCCAAAAAAAAAACGTTAACAATATTATTCCCCGATTTAAAAAAAAATTATTTCCGCCATTATCTATTCATGTCTCGACTACTCCTCGGATCGTTATCTGAAATCACGTAAGCCACGAACCATCTCACGTAACAAAATGAACTCCCAGTCAAAAATCAATTCGAAACCCATGATGAATGACGTGCTTAACCATAACCCCAGGACACCTTGTTAATTCTTAGACGCGCATTCCAGTACCAGCAATGAGTCTCGTGCATTAGAAATTAATATATCCAGCAGTCCCTCGTGCCTACAGTGGCCGATGAGTGGAGGCAATTACTTGACAAACGGCCGCTTTTTGCTTCTCCCCATAAACACGAAACAAAAGCCAAGACTGTTTTTTCACTCGTCCACTAAGCATCTTTCAAATCCCAACCACACGTGCCTTTCCATAATAGTTACACATACACCTTCTACATTCCAAGTACATTCGGAAAGATTAAGAAAAATGATTTTCATCATTAACTCGCACAGAATTTCAAGGATGAAAAATCACAGACGCTGCTTCGCGTTTCTTAATATATGTATATGTATAATTTGTTATGCATATACGTATTGTTAACGATTAAAGCGTCCTTCGAGACTTATCCGTCTTTTATTATTCCATTACGCAAAAAGGTATCGGCATACCGATCCCACGAGTTGACGTACAGCAGCACGTACGTCCCGTGCTAAGAGATCATGCTCCATCCGAAGAACGTCATTCTATTTTGTTACGTGTGCTTATCGCTGGTTCTAAGCTTAACAAACATATAAGCGTGGATATAAGTGTCACTTTGCATTGCGTAAAAACCCTAACGAGAAGATTGACGTGTTTGAGCGTCTTTGAATTTGTCGTAAGATTAGACAAGGGATAAGGACTTTTATATACATACAATATACTGTATACTAAGTGTATATAGATATACTTTGAAGCCGTATGTATGATATCGGTACACCTTGATTCTTCGTATATTGTAGCATTTAATTATTCTATACTCGCCGTAGAAATCCATTGCTCTATTTTCTCACGCCCAAGAAAATACGTATCGACGCCTCTTATTTACGGGATACAGGTGTGACATGGTAAGTACATATGTGTCTGATATACTTGGTAAAGGATTGACGCTCGGCATACATAATAATGAGAGCATGCCGCCATTACATGGATATGCTTTATATAGATTGGACAATGTAGTATATATATATATATATAGATTTAATTTATATAGACGGTGGTGAAAACCTTGAGCAATTAACATACTACCATCATGGGATTGCCGTGATTAATCCACAGTGCAAGGCTCCTTTACTCCAGAATGCACCTTCGCACTTGATTATCATTGTGATCATCGTCATCGGTCTCATTGCCACTTGAATATTCGCGATTCTTACCAGTCACGCGAAATCTGTTAACGGACTTAATGACTGTCATTCATCGTCAGGTAAATGAGATGCGCCGGGAGATTGAGGATTTTCAATTGCATCGAGATGAATTAAATTATATATATTTTTTTTTTTTTTTTTTTTTTTGAAGTTCTCAGAAATATTCATTAGGGGTATGGGAATTCTTCAGGAGAGTCGTACACATTATTATTATTGTAAGGATCGATTTATCGTATTTTTCTTAAATTACTGCAACTGGCTATAATAATGTGCATCGTTACTCAGAGATCCGCGGAGAATTGCGAAAGGTCATGCGACGGAGAGTCTTGGATAAATATATATATATATATATATAATATAATTCTTGATCCGAGCTCTACTAATTTTCCCACATCCCATGACTGAGGTCTTTGTCGTTTCTATGGGGTCAGCTAAAGATAATGCATCCTTCGTGCGCCGATTGCCCGAGGAATCCTTAATCCATTAGTCTTGGTGGAAAGGCATTCGTTAGAAGTTCATAGCCCTTTGTTGGCATGATCCCAGGAGGATCCTGGATCGTTAGGATAGATCGGAAGAGGATGAGGGTAAGGGGGAAGAGACGGAACAAGAGGAACAGCACGAAGAACTATCTTCCTTCTGTTAAAGCATAGAGAATCTTTATCGCGTCATTATAGAAAACCGGATGGGCAGGATATAATATGTAGATGTAATATGTAATATATATGTATATATATATGGGTTTGGATATGAACCTAATATACGTGAAAAAAATATAATCAATGCGTTTCTCTTGAAAAATATGCTGATTGGCAGCTGGCGTATTAAACGACTCGGGATATTATTTTTATATACGATCCCGAGCACACCTACGTCTTCCCTGATTTCTGCGCAAACGCGATTTCACTTTGCGAACCGAGCCGGTTACCAAGTGGAGCGTGTCAATAAAATAAATAGTAGCGAGCCTTGATTCGCCATTGAACTTCACTTGTACTGCGAGGTGATCGGCTCTTTTCTCCTACCGATCGCTGCTTTACAGAATCGCTATGGCATTTCTTTACAAAAATGATCAGCCTGTGCATAAGGAATTACGATTTTATTTATGACCTTACGTGGTTGAGGCAAATTAATATTTCGATTTGGTTCGATAGTTGTATACAAAAAACTGGTTGCGTTACCTACCATGGTATTTTTGCATTATTCATATCAAGAGGAATTAATATTTTTGCAAACCCATTTTTCTGTTAGGATGTAATGAAAGAGTCCATTTTTAATATTTTATTGGGACAGTTTAAATTTTTGAAAAATTATTTTATTTTTTTAGTTTTTATAAGTAACTGCTGGCTGTCAGCAGATGCTTAAGATTTTGGATAAGGATATTTTTGTCATTTATGAATACACTTACACAATGTCATTCGTACTGTGACAATAACGACCGTAGGCCTTGGCTTCCTTGAAGATGTAAACGAACTTCCTTGGGGATGTTGAATTAAATGGTGCCAGTCGGTGAAGGCTGGAAATAAAAAGTTACTCTTCAAGCCTTATGGCCGGATAACGTGACTAATTGTGAGTCGTGTAAGGAATGTGAACCGCGCATAATATTTATCGTTAGACATCAGTGTGAAATTTTCGTAAATGATTCCGAGTTCTTTGAACTTCAAGTAGCCAAATGCTAATTTTTCTAATTAATAAATTAGACTGACAGCGTGACAGTTACTTATGCTAAGCATGACAGTTGTACGAAAATACTTAATTTTTGAGGAAATACGATGTCGTTTTAAATGTCTGGAAAAGAATTTTATTAAATAAAAATTTAATTAAATTAAAAGTCTCGTATAATTTATACAGTCGATTGCGAAATTCTTTGTAATCGATGAGTTACAGGAATGAGATCTTCCAGTGTTCATAGTTACTCATAAGCTTGGTAATGTTCGTAGAAATGAAAATTATATATTCAGAGCATTTATTCATATGAACAAGAGTAACTGTGCTATACGAGAGAATATCAGGTACCTATGAGACACGTGATAAAATAAGCTAATGATTTACTGATTGAACTGGGTGCATGTGGATTAATCATATACAGGGATAAATTCCTCATTGCTATACTATTATTACTGTACAGGTAACATCGAAGTGATTACCGTGCGAAATGGAATTGCCATACAGGTAACCGTAAGTATATATATTTTTAATTGTAAAATAGTACCATGTGCTACGATTTATTCTCACTGGTAAAAATTCACGTACAGTTATACAATACGGAAATGTTTTTCATTTCATTGACACATCGAGCACGATAAAGTGAACCAGGTTCACTTTGCTTCTAATTCATGAACCATTCGCAATGTGCGTTCAAGCTTGAAGAAAATGATACTCGATCCAGACATAGCATGAAAACATAATGATAAAACATTCGATAACGTACAATCAAAACTTCATAGTAGAATTATAGTATTTATATTTAGTGCAAAGTATAATTTGACAATTTTGCAAAAATCGTACACGCGATTTTATTTGCTAAAAAATTACGTTACAAATTCGATTTTGGATGTAAAAAAAAATAAAAATGTACATGTATACAAATAATTGTTTAAATAGCAGACAAATTTTATCCAATAATCCGATTTAGCAGCTGTATCATTTGAATGATTTATTAATGGTTCTGATACAATCAAAGTCTAATAAAGTCATTTACTGCTCTGTTGTATTCGGTAAAAAATAAAGAGCAAAAAATGGGCTCATTCAATGTTAATTTAGAGATTACGAAGCGTGACGGTGTTTCGTCTTTGCTGATATTTGCTACAGGATTTTTGGATGAGATCCTAATTAGAGCACGAACCGTGCAAACTTAATTAGACAAGCACCGGATAAGACAAATATTCATAAGGTCGATGCTCCGCGAGAGATTTATACTAATTCAATGATCGCTCGTGAACATCGCTGACTTTCATTCGATAGGACAGTATATAGTAAAAATAGCACATCAAAATACACTGATAGCCTTAACGGTACGATGGACTTAAACGTAACAACAGTATCTAACTAATCGACACATAATTAAACTGCTATTTAGAGTGGTCGACTTTATCGACAATTTTACTCAGCCATTTCGTTGATTATTCAGTTAACTAGTAATCATAAATCTCTGTGCTATACGTACTTGGCGCAAGATTCTACAGATTCCTTTTGGTACATTACTATTTTTGTTAACGCTACATGTACAGCCAACTGGTGATAGGGTTACGTACGAATGTAGACACAGCTCGTAACCGACGGTGCCAATAAAACTTTTTTTATAAAGATTTTACCGACGGACTGGCGCTGTATTCCATAACATGAATCCTAGAATGGATCCCGACATGTTACGTGGTCGGTTTCGTTTCCTATCTTAACTTTTCATCGTAAGATTCTACTCTCACCAAATTGCGCCATACTCAACTCCTATCCCATATTCGTAGCCTAGAAAGATGTAGTTTTGAACAGTTTGAGTTTTGAAATCAGACCTTTTCTTCTTTTCATTTTTTTTTTTTTGACAGTCATGGCATGGAACCTGGGTCAATAATCACCTTGACTATTCTCACGCAATAAGCCTTCAGGGTATAACTGTTCTTGTACCTTTAAGGTATAATATGAACGGATTGTTCGGATAATTTCTTTAATCTTGTTAAAGAATAAGATACTATCTCTGTATACTTTAAGAGTGACTTCGAATTACCCTATAATTTTTATACAAACCGCAAGAAAGATATGGCTTGTAATAAGCGTAAAAATCAATTTTATCAAATTATTCAGGATTCACGGTTGGCTGATGTTCGAATATTCCAAAAAGGAAACCAAAACGAATACCACCTGCACGTAAACACGTGACCGCAAAATTCAACTGCAATTTGACCATGATGGGAGGATACACATTTTTCATCACTGCATTGAATCAGAAAAGATCATTCTTGTACAGTAACACTATGGTATACCGGTTTATCGAATTTAAGGTTTGCAATTATACCGGTGGCAATTACCCGTGCTGGTCCACAATTAGTACCACGGTATTAAGACTTATCTATCGATCGTTCGAAATAGCTTTAACAACACTTTCAAAGAACTATACGATACTAGTCACTTAACTTTAAATTACGAGGATCTCTCACGCCACGCAACGGATTGGCTGGTTGCTATCGAATCAGTTAGACTATTACTTATCCACTTTAGAAAAGTCCTCAGAGTAGAAAAGTTAACCTAAAGAGGACTGGGGAGTTCGTTGTAACCTGAAAGTGATATATTGTAATTTAAAAGAACGCAATATTAAATTCTCGTACAAACACAATGCACGCATATTTAACCAAGCTACATTGTTACTTACGTGACACTTTTATACGGAATAATTAACCACTTTCGTTATAAGAAACTCAAGACGACCACCGACACTCCGCGGTCCCCTTAAAAAAACATAAGCTAACCGATGCCTACAGCGCTGACAGTCTTATTGATGCGATATTATTCCGCTACGCGGCGCTGTTGAATTCTCATTCTCGTGAGGGACTCTTTCACTTATGCCGTGCAGGAAATATCCTGACAGTTTGCATTATCAAGAAGCTGATTGTTTTACGATCTAGTGACGTTACGATTACGTGAAGAATCCATACGTGCTACTAACAAGTGTTAAATGCATCCGTTACGTGGGACGTTAATCCAGAAAGCCTTACAGTGTGTAGTGAACACGAAGCATGGAGTTGGTTATGTGGAATTTTGAAAATTGAAAATCTTCAGCATTACGCGATGAATAATAGAGGTTAGTACCTGTTATTCTGTAAGGTTATTCATGGACATATGGACTCGGTAAGATCAGGCATATTTCGCAATCTACGACGCGACACGCACAGCTACGCAGACTTGTATATACAGGTATTGTAGGCGTGGTTGGTAGCCATGTATCTTATGGCGATCTTCTCACGCTAGGTCAACCGATCCTACGAGAAAATGAGTCTCGTGATTCTAGTCTTTCTTTGTACTTTGTACATACCATATATATATATAGTATATACATATAAGTCAGCTATGCATACTACGTATACATATAAGTCAACGACAAATCGAATAACGTAACGGCTTTGAGAATTCTGGACGCAAATCCTGCCTAAGCTCATCTATCGAAGCTCGTACAGTCTCTAGACATATAGGTATATACATATATGTTACTATGGTAGATACATACAGATCTTCGATGGTCAGATGGACCTCGAAGGTCAAAGGTGTTTGATAGATATTCCCAGATAAATCTATGCTATCTCGATTTCATGATCTCAACAATAGTTGATCTATCCCCTAGGCTATTCTCTCTAGAATTCTGCTACCAGGAAGATCGAAAGACTGAAAGACAATCTTTATTATTTCAGTATTATAATATTTTTACTGTCTAATATATACACTGGTTTCTCTTATAATGCCACACAAAGGCTCCGTACAATATTTCAGGCTCTCTATACCTTATATAAGGCTACAGCATCGTTTATTGACAGTGTAAAGGTCCATTCATATCGACGCACAAGATTACTCCTATGTACGATCCTTATCTGACATGTGAAGTGAGGATTCAGGCATCAAGCATGATAATGGCCGCAAGGTACGCTACACGTATGTACAGCTCGTTTCATGGATTATCCAACAAAGTAATGATCTTGATATTCTTCGTTTTATTCAACAGTTACGCATATTGAGTAACACTCATATGGTCTGTCATAAAAATGGAAAAGATACCTTCTGAATTTGCATATTTTACTCAAAATATCATTCGCCCTCAACACTCTCCCAGATACGACTAAGCCGTTGTTCGGATGAATACAAAATAAGCAAAGAAGACTCGTAAGACGCGGATTCCATCATGCTGTACGTAGCGCGCCGCGCGCGCCATTATATTACGTAAAACTCGGTGTTCTGTATTTGGCACGAGGTGTCTAAAGCAATTTACGTTACTCGTGGCCGTTTAGAACAGGGCCGCCACCTTCCCAGGGACTTGCACAGAATAGGTGAGTCCCACTCCTGGCGCAATGGACCCGTAGCAAGACGACCCATCCATGGCCAGAATTATGGTGACTGTGGACCAATTCCGTTGAAGATATTCTCTCACTCTCTCTTTAGCTTTGTCTCTATATATTTGCCTTTCTCTTTTAGGCTACATATATACGTGTTTGGTATCTTTTATCATTTTCCTTTTCAAACATTTTTCGCCCATGCTTTTTCTCTTTTTTTTTCAGCTTTGCTGTAAGAGACATAGCTAGTGTCTACTGCCCTGAGATATGACCGCGTTAATAAAGCAGGTGCAAGCCCAATGCACGCCACGTTGCACACTATTAATGCACCCTGCACCCACTGTCAGTTGGCGCACTGGCAGCCCGTATGAAACGGCTATTCATTCGACGAGGGTAGACACGATTTCCAACATGTTTTCGTAACGTTACTTTGCACTTTTTATCTCAGACTGCCTGCACCATTTTTTCTTATCTCGAAACGGGATTCCAGAGGGGATAAAACATACGGCTCAATATGTGGGTATCGAGAGCAGTGGGGATGTAGGTTACACGTTACAGTCTTGGAAATTGCATCTAAATATATATTATAAGATTCTTGGAATATAATATATGTATTTAACTACTCGATTACGTTGATATATTTTCAATATTTATCCTCGATGGCTTCGTACAAACCTATGGTAATTTTCATTTCCTCATCCTTCTGCGAACGACTCCAATTTCAATTTTACGACAGTCTCGTGATTTCGCAGGAAGAAAAGTGCACTTGCACCCAGCCCCGCTGCATTCGCTTACAATCGTAGCGTACGCAGGAAATGATCGAGGTCTAATTACCGGCGTGTGTGCGGTGCTCGTAATTCAAAGACGCAGCCTCGGGACAGTCATCTCCATCATGCGGAGGGATGGATTTTTCAGTGCACTCGCCGCTCTCGAGGCTTTCTTTACACGCGATGCTGCACACGGTGACCCCCTGTTAATTAGAGTTATTGAATATCGAGCATAGAATTGATCGCAACTGCATCCGACATACATATAGAAATGCATACACCGTGTAAAGATGCGCATTTTTCTTCTGGCACGAGCGCTATGCACCCATCTACCCACGTATATATTTACGATGCGATATTTAATTCGGTTACCGTTTTAAATGCACTTTCGATGCACACGACATCGAATCAATTTTAAGCACACTTTCTCAGAACTGCATACAGCGACACTACGGAATAATAAAAATAACATATTTAATTTATATGCCGTGTATTATTTCTTATGGCAAACCTTCAGCAATTATATTTAAAGCTCGGATAACTTATACTGTATGGAATTTTATTATTTTTTTCTATGGCTACCTATTGTATCTGGCACGTTAAGGTATCGCAGTCCAGCGTCAGAACCGAGGGCATCGGTTCGGTGAAAGCCTCAACTGCAAATTGCAATAGTTGCACACCCACGGTTACTTCTGCGAAAAGCGTGCATCCTCTTGTCAGTAGGTACAGTCGTGGCAAATGAAACGCGCCTTGAGGCAGGTTATGGCTTTGCTCGCGATTTAGAATCCGCCTTTATGGACGAACGTGCAGTTGCTTTGGTAGAGTGCATCCAGGGATACTCGGCACTCGGTGAAAGTGCAACGCGGGATTCTCTCTGCAGCGTAGAGAGAAAAAAAAGGGAGAGATTCAGTGACTATATGCGTTCTCTGTGGAATCGCGGAAGTGCATAGGTAGACCTATGGAATATGTACAGACAGATCCCTACCAGGTACATCGGTGCAATTGCATCCGCTGTAAAATTGTCAATCTTGCGCGATAAGCAATGCACGTTGCAACTTTGCTGGAAAGGAAAGCCCCGAGAAATTGATGCCGCGTAAAGTGCACGCGGCATCCGCTGTAATATGTGCTGCAAATGGGAATTAATTCTGGTGATAAAAAGATTTTTTTTTCGAGTCCTCAGATTCGCGAGGAAAGTTTGAAAAATCTTTTCGGAAATTTTACCGCGATTCCTGTTTGGGAAATGATGAAAAATTTCTTGCCTACCTACGTGCATACGATTAACATAAATTTGCAATACTCATCAATTCATGGTTAAGTAGCAAGATGCATCCAGAAAAATGTGCAATTATAAAAGATTTACTTCCTGTGGTCGAGTCACGAATATTACCTACAATGCCAAGCACAGTGTTAAGTATTTCCATTTTGAGATTGAAGTTGTTACTTTTTATTTTTTTTTATTTTTTTTTTTAATCCCTTTTTTACACTTTTCCTTGTACGTCACGAATGATATTAGAAGCGAAGATGCATTTTTTTCTTCAATATTCATTGAAAAGGCTTGCAGCAGTTACAGGTGTTTGAGCCGCAAAAGGTAACCTTCGCCCGTACTTTTACGGCTAATGGGATGTGGATGCAATAAAAATCCATTTTGCTGCAGTACAAAGAACAGAAAAATGCACTCGGCCGTCGCTGTGCAATATTCTCTCGTATGTTTTTGCTGCAAAATTTTTCGTACGATTCCGTTGCATTCTAGCGTTTCCCTGCAAATTGCAATTTACCATATGCTAAAGAGAACCACCACGACTCTCCTTACCTACCAATTATTACACGTCCATATAACCCTCGACAAATAAAAATCCAAGAATTCCAAGAGATAGAAAGAGCACAGTCAATATTTTGTGCGCCGTACGTTGGCAACTGGTTGCGAATACTCCCATGCATAAATGCACATAACCGTTACATTATGCACTTGAATAAAGATTACATTTGAATTCTGTCCATCGCAACTGTTCTCATTATACAAATTACCCGGGATCTCCCTGCAGCTTTCAAAACTCCATGAGCCAACGCTAACGAAATATATTTGAAAAACAAATTTACTGGAAATGAAATTAAGAGCATAATTATTCTATACAAATTTAATTTCTTCTCGTAGAATCCCATGGTGCATCCGACGACGTCGTATGGTGAAAGCTGTCCCGATAAACACCCTGAGATAAAATATAATGCATTCTGACTCGATTGTTGAAGAGACCCAGTCAAGAGCAGCGGATACTTGCACTCTGGTTGCACTCGAGAATTGCACTGAACCTCGTGTTTGTAAGTGCTGGTTATAGTAGCTATGGTTATGGTATCGTGTGGCGAGAGAGCATAACCGGTGAGAAACAGTCAGTTGGGCCAAGTAACAGTACTCCCTGGTCACGGAGAGTAGCAAATGAAACGGGAGAGAAGAAAAGAGAGGGAGAAGAAAAAGACAAAGCAAAGATGAATAAGAAGGTGGAATTAAGAGAGCGTGTTTCTTTAAAACCTGCTTCTGCTGCTCTATGGTGTTCCGGAGTACCATAATAATATATATGTACATACAAACGAGTTCCCACGAACGTCTCGTTGATTTCCCCATAAATTAAAAAAAAAGGCAACGTGGCATATTTCACACCTACTTTGGCTACCGATTGGCTTTAACGCCCTTTAGAAACAGAGTCTCCAGTAATTCCGTTGTTGCACCGCATTAGCGTTAAGGTATATACGATTCATTATTATATTTCAATTTCACTTATTTCAATTTTATTTATTTCAATTACAATAAGCTATACGTCATTTTTACTTGTATTCTTGTATAATTTTTTACACGTGTGCACTTATGCATTGCGTCGATGTACTAAGTACCTATAACTATCCATTTCCGACGATGCCGTTTCTTCATTGCATCTTTAATGCAAATCAAACCGTCAGACGTATTCGAGGGGCTCTTCGTCGCCCACGTAGAAATCGGCACGTGTGTAGCTATATGCATATGTAAGACCGGCAGTATGTACGATTTATACCTACTTACAAAGTGATATCTTCATGAGCGTGTCTGTCTGTCTACTTGCTGAAAAATGTTCTTCAATTTTTCGTTGCCATCCATACCAGACAGTCAATTAGTGTTGGGATAAGTTGTTTGGCGGCCTCTAGGAACTCGTTTAATTTTTCGAAAAAATATATTTTTTAAATAGTACTTATACCGCCGGTTGGGTTGATACGTCTCGCACGTAGGCGGTCATATGGTAGGGTTCTCATGGTCTTTTTTTTTTCCTTAAAATAGATGAGAAAAATGTCTAGAGAAAATTGACCTATTTTTCTCTTCACTTTTCCAACGGAAAAGTGTTCTATCGTTTGTACAATGCGAATGTGGTTTTCCGCACGATATCGTGAAATTATGCGAATTAATAGACTTTCAAGATAATTTCATTGGCATACACGATAAAGCATCGTACGTTCTCAGATACAATAAATTATTATCTATAATAAAAAGAAAAATATGATATCTATAAGATTGACAAAAATCGCATGTAAAAATTGCGTAGGCATGTACGTATAATCACTAACCGTGAAATTCTGTTGGGTCATGAAACGCCATAAGAATATGCACGGTATAAATAACGCGTGAGAAGAGAATCCGGTTTTGAAAATTAATGATGAAAAAAATGTCAAGCATTTAATCTTTCGCAGGGTCGACGAACCTATAATCCATAGACACATGCGTGCACTAAGAATTACACGAAATTCCAATGCGAATCCAGCAATGGAAACTTCACCTCCTAACCTGCAAATCCTAATCGCATTAAATAAACTGGACGATGGTAATTCGCATTGACGTAGAGAGCTCGTTGCAAGATCGAAATACAGTAAAATATAAATGCACGACTATATCAGAATTGCAATGCCGCAACGATAATCGTAGATTATCCATAGGAAAGCGAAAGAGAAATAAACGAAGTTCAGAGTTATCGAAGTCCGCTAGAATTTATTAGCGATCGTGCGTACAGATGAGGAACGCGTTGCATTAACACTTCACGAGTAACAGGTTTTCCACCGCGCTAGCATACGATAAAATCGGCCCGTGCTGTTGCTACTCCTTACCAATAAGAGAATCATCATAAAGCCAGCGACACGGCCTAGCGGAATCGATAACAGCGCCATCTGCGAATCCACGCGGTAAGCGCGACAGTGTCAAACCGATAAAGAGTGCCCGCGACGGAAGAATAAAAAAAGATAGATAACTTCGAGTCTACATAGTATACAGATTCAATGATAATCATTGGAACGTGATGTTCTGCGCATGCGCGATTTCTCAGTGCGAAAGCGCAACGGCGCAAGCCAAAGGCAGGACCAGGATACTTCGTCTTGTATTGCCAAGAAAAGAAAGAGAGTGAGAGGATAAGAAAAGGAATATAAAAATGGGGAAAGGGATAAAGAATAAAAAGATCCCAAAGGATATTTCTATGGCGCCGTAAATTCCCAGGCATCCCATGCAATCATTCTAACCTATCCTTTGCCTCGGGGTTGCCTACGCTCGCGGAACCTTTGACTCTGAAATGGGCCTCTCTACCGGCTATACACAGTGCATCTCCATGGATCCCGTAGAGTCTAGAGTGGAACTTGGTGCAATTTGCAATCGCACAGTCAACCCTATTTTTCCTTCGAGTCAATCCGTGTCCTTCGACGGACGTGAGGTGACGCATAATTGCTATGTTGCATCCAGTCCGATAAAGGATCTCGAGCCGGTTGCGAGTACGAGCGATGCGCTTCTATCGATGCATTTTTTATTTTATCAAATTTTTTTCTTTTTCATTATTACTATTATTAATAAGTGTCTCCTGCGATGTCACAGACCTCCTTGACACGCATTACTTCTATTATATTATTATTTTTTTTTTTCATTGTTCCCTTTTCTATTTATTCTCTTTATCGTACATCCTGTCTGTATCTCCGGGTATACATGGACACCAGCTAGACTCGTCCTTCGGTAATATTATCGAAAGGTAATTAGAGGTTGGTTTCGCGATTCGTAGAGACGATTAAATGCTGATAATAATGATCATGATAATGACGAAGATGATGATGGTCAGTAGTGGTTCGTGAGGTCAGGACGAAGGACCTCGGGCTACGGTCACTTCGAATAAGCCAAGCGAAGAGATTTAAAAGATATTCAGAGAATCCTGAACGATAGCCTCGAGTCCGAGGAGATAAAGCTAATGATCTTTTTCATTTGGAAACGGAAAAGTTTCTTGGAACATCATTCTACGTCACTGACACATCTAATGACGCGGATCGAACGGTTGTAACTTTCGTGTGGAATATTAAAGAGGACAAAAAAATTTAATCAGAGGCATTGAAATACATGTGTTATC